TTTATGTTTTTTTTTATTATTTGAGTTACAAAAACAACATGACAAAAAATATTTAAGTCTAAAAAGTGTAAACATATTTTAAGATGATATTTTATACAATTAATATTTTATTTTTACCGGTAGTGAAGATGTATTTTCACTAAGGAGCATAACATTGGTAAAAAATACTTTAGTTTAAAAAAGTTAAAACTGGTTTCAACACAACTTCTATAAAGCTATTTCATTTTAAACTATTGGATACTGAAGTAGACATCCCATCTATATGGAACAGCTGTCGCAAATTTTTTATTAAAAGAACATAAGTTATGTGAGCCAGGCACAGAATGCACTAAGGTCTTAAATTGTGTTTTATATCTTATTTATTTTTGCTGACCAGGTTGATGGGTCAAACAGTTGATATAGCTCACCATAAGTCATTCCATTAGTTTGACTTAATTAAAAAGTCTATGTATTGGTCAGCACAATCTGTCGGTGGCTCACATCAACTACGAAGATTTTGATTAAAAAACTGGCGACAATTTTAACATGGGAATGGAGGAATGTCTAGATGTATTAATACTTAATTAATAGTCGAAGATAATATAACATCTCTCTCTCTCTCTGTCAGTTATAAGGCTATTTTTATCTTTACTAAATACGTCGTCACAGCCTTTAGCAAAAGTATACTCATTTGAACAAGGAATTATAAATAATGGGACGTTGACTTAAGTTATCACATCATTGATTGTCAGGGGCTAGCATGTAGAAAAACTTGTGTCTCATTCATTGATGAGGTAGGGACAAAAGAAAAAAACATTTACACACATTGATAATTTGCTTCCGAATAACAATTAAATAGTAGATATTGGTTTTCGGTTATGTCCTATTCAGCCCGAGTTTCATTTCGCCCGTAGCCTAATTAGTCCCAGTTCGCCCACGGTTCCAGATTAACCCTTATAATCCTCAGCTCTACCTGTGTCAGAAGTCTCATTCCATCCACGGAGGCGATGTACCGCCTCTAGGTACCCCCACCCCCACAAGTATGACCTCCATCACCTCCGACTACACGGCTATTGGAGCATATATTTGTTGTTAAAATATTTGTTTGACAAACCAAGCGAATTTCCTTTATAGTATTAATGTAAAGTTGAAACACAAAGATCTCAGCATTAAAATATAAAGTGGCATGTGTCCTTATTGATTAGTTAAGTTAATCTTAAATAAACTAAACAGAGTACAGTAATACCACAAAGATCTCAGCATTAAAATATAAAGTGGCATGTGTCCTTATTGATTAGTTAAGTTAATCTTAAATAAACTAAACAGAGTACAGTAATACCATTGACTATTAACAAATAATCACACCTGAGGTAATAAATTGAAATAGTCAAAGATTCTAGTTACATCTTAGAGTTGTTTGAAAACTTGTTAGAAACTAATTTTAAATATCTCACGTCGTCAAGGATCACCCGATCACCTACATTATTTCTGCTCTAAGTTTTAACTGATATCTTCTAATGAATGCTAAAAAGCCTGCTTCAATTCAAGTTAACATGTTGCAACAAAGTTTTTACATCATTGAGAAATTAAAGAAAAATGTTGCTTTACTGAGATAACCTGTGTTGAAGTATTTTAAGTTGGGTAATTTCTTTATTTATTTCTTTGATTTGATACATCCCCTAAACCATCAAATTTTCTCCGTAGGGAATCCTGTAATGTGGGGTGATGTAAACCATTTCATGTGGTCCAAGTTTGGACCTGAACCGGTCACAAGTAAAGTCAAGGGTCTTCAGGAGGTATCGCTGCCACCACTACTCTAATTAAGGGAGAGTAGGCCCTAATGAAAATGGGAAGAAAAATAATTTATAAATAAATAACCTTTTTAAAACAAAACATTTTTAAACTCGCTAAAAAGTAGAAAATAATTTATAAATATGCGGAGAGTATAAATACTTGTAAGATTTAAAACGACAAACGTGGGGTGCATGCAATAGATAATTTACAATTACCTTCACCTTTTGAACTAATGCATCATTATCAATTGCATGCACCCCACGTTTTTCGTTTTAAATCTTACAAGTATTTATACTCTCCACATATTTATAAATTGTTTTCTACTTTTTAGTGAGTTTAAAAACGTTTTGTTTTAAAAAGGTTTTTTATTTATAAATTATTTTCTACTTTTTAGTTTTTAATGTGTGTGGATGACAAATATATTTCAAGCATCTATATCAGATTAAGACAGAGGCATGTGGGAAATCTTAGGTTTATTTGAATTTCTTTTCATATAATTATGTATTAGATTGAAAGTATGGCCTACTAACTATAAATATATCAATCTATTTAATTTACTGTTTACTTTATCTATATAAATAAAATTAGAGTTTTGTCTGTACATTGCTCAGAATCATAAACTTTTAGGTTATTTTTATGTTTTATACATTAGAGAAACCGAAACAAGTCTCTTCTAAATTTCTGTCTGTCTTCCTGTCTGTTACGACCCAAGAGCCATTTTATGCGGCCTACTCCTGAAAAACGAGAGTACCTATCAAGTTCCAAATCATTTTAATGTATTCACTGGATTGGCGAGATTGTCTTTAGCCATTATGGCATCACTCCATTGTAAATAAAATGACGGACGTTTAAAAACACAATTTTGTGCGATTTTTTGTTAAGTTTTCTCCCAATGTTTAGCACATATTCTTCTATGAAATAACGAACAGCTGTTCAAATCAAGATTATTTTTCTTCTAGCTGTCACTGATATGTATACATTGAATGTTGTTTACAAATACCGCAACCATTTCCGATCACGTTTTGAAAGCAAATCCAAACCAATTAAGATTAAAAACGTTTTTCCTTACATAACGGATTTAATTAATCGCAAGTACAATAATGTAGGGTAACAGTAAATGAAAATAGAGATTCTTTGTGTATAAAATTGTTCTTGAGTTTTGATAACCGGGAAATAGACCTTGAATCAGTGTTGTACATTGCTGGGAAACTTACATTTTTTAAATGAGCGTTTTCAGTCGAGACTCGGCACACGACCGACGCGCGTCTACTTGTCCATAGTAAAAATAAAAGTACGCCTACCGTGTATTTATGTTTTATTCGTCATGTGTATAAGTGTACAGTTCCTGTATGTGTTTCAAAAACTCCAAGACGCACCTAATGGGGAAGCTCAAGACCTTATATTAGGACTGATGATGGCGATTTAATTTCGCCGAAATGCATCTCCTGTAATAGGATACATTAGGATCGACCGGCGGACACAGGGAATTTAACCTTTTATTGATTGTCATACCGACCCGGAACAACAACAAACATCATAAAATGAAGTTATGTATAATAAATAGTTTGGCCAGCATATCTGAAAATATGCAAACCAATTGCTGTTCTTTATATAAGAAGGTTTCAACTGATTACTATAAGATCCCCGTGCGTAGAACGGGTACATAGCTAGTAGAATACTAAATAAATAACAATCCTTATATATAATACGTGAAGGTGATTTCTACAAAACACTACTCCTCCGTTAATAATGGATGGATTTTTACAAACGACGTGTCAAAATTAAGTATTTTTTGTGTAGACGCATCTTTCACCAATTCCTGTAATAAAAATCCTCGGGCTTTGCCCCACAGGCCATTAAAGTTGGAGTTTCTCCCATAAGATTAACATGGGGGAATCTAAATATTTAATTGGAAACTTTGTCCCCACTAATTTGAGAGAACGGCTGTGCGTAGAAACTTGGTAGAGGTGTCCAAAGAAAGGTCTTGGTCTGTAGATGAGTTATCAAAAGAAAAACTAAGCAAAATCCCATAGGACTCTGTCCCAGAAGCCTTTAAAGATCCCTCCACAGAGTTGTTTACATTTTGGCCATGTGAATAATACCATAGACTAAGCAACACAAGTAGATTCCTCATCCCATTGTAAATTTTGAAGCTTGTTTTTTGCGTCTAGTTCATGTACGTCCACACTGATCGCTAGTGTAGACAACATTTTGTTTCTATTATTTTAGGGTTATTTTCATTATTTGTGCTTTACTATTTGGTTATATAACTAGGAGACCAGTTATTGTTTATGATTATATCGTTTTATTAGGTTAAACGGGGTTTTAAATTACTGAAATAACAAGAAACAAATTGTAAACAAAACATAACCTCTACAGTTGGACGTACAGAACTAACAATAAAATTGGCTTCAGCTGTTCCATTAGGATGACTAACCTACTGAGGGAGTATGTTTTATCTATGATAAAGCGTTGAACGACAATAGAATGTTAACACGCAACGACAGGTTTATCGGTTAAGTAAGTCGTAGTATCAATAGTCAATGGTTGGGAACCACTGCACCAGCTGACCGTAGTCGTAGTATCTAAGAAATAGATTATGATTGTGATTGTATCCACAACATCACCAGTGAAGAGGCAACCAAAAACAGAATGTTTATGACTGATCCAATCTGGAAACCGAAAAGTCAATTCTTGTTTTTAACCGTCATTCATAAATAAAACGCTACAAATGATAAATTATTTCATTTAAGTCAAGATAAGTTTTCGAATCCTTTCAAGACGATTGCTGAAAACTATTGTATTCTGGAATCTTGCCGATCGAATGTCGAAACCAAAACTTTCCCAAAGTTTTGATGGTTTTGAGATTTGGTTTTGACACACCACTAGCAGAAAGACAACATTTCTTGATACACAAAAAAAAATTATTTTAAATCAAAATTTTGTTTAAAATACAAAGAATATTCATTAAATAAACCAAAATTTTATAACCCAAAATGTGTAAAAAAAATTTAAAAATTAGACCTACTCCTGCTCTCCAAGTCCCCTTCAATAACAGATCTCATCAAACAACGCCCAGCTCTAACTCACTGACTACCACAGCAGCCTTCTGTAGGCTATATCAGGGCAAAAAGTTGTTGTTTTCCCTCACATTATCAAACTTCTTTGTGGTACATAATATAAATTTCTTGTGAATAATACCTTAACCTATATACCATTGTATTTAGGTTAAAGAGGTGTTCCGACCAAGCAGCTCCTCTGCTGAGGCTCCAGTGCTGAAGATAGCTGAAAGAGTGAGGCTGAGAAAGATGGACAGACATGTCACTGGCTCCGACCTAACGTCCTTGGGGGTTGGTACCACATTCTATTCTAATTACGAAGCAGAGAACATTTCTGTTACCTTCCAATTACATTAGTAAGCCAGCTATACTCTTGACAAATTATCAATCACTAGTGGCCTGTAGGGGCCATAGCCCCTAATTTAGACTACAATAAAAAACCATATATAAAAAGACAAATATTCGAAACATTTTTTTAAAATTATCAATTTTATGTTAGCCTACTTAAAATTAACAGCGTTTCTTGTTTTATATTTTGGTTTTCCTTCCATTGGAGTTGTATATTAGTTGCTTCTGATGTGCCATTGAAATACAATTGTAAAATAATTATTAAATCAATAACACAACATATTAACAAATGGAAACGTGCACACGGTTTGGCCTGAGCCCGGAGAACGAGGAATCAGAGCTGAAATCATACAGCCAAATGTTGCACATCCTTTTTAGTTTAAAATTGAAGATTTGTTTTGTAATCTTACGAATTCTGTTATAGTTCCCATTTTGAGAACTATTACTATGAAGGCAACTCCCCATTTTGCGGTAGTAAGTCAGAAATATATCTATGCATTTGTCCCTGAATTTTAAGACAGCAAGGCCCATTTCCCGGAATCTCTTTTTGTGTAGCAGAAAGCGACGCAAAAGCCATTGCACTGTTGTTTTGCCTTTTGTTTTTTTATGAAGTTTGAACCATGTAAAAACAGTTCTTTTAGTTTGTCATTTACTTGTGGTTGTAGCATGTCCATTGTGGCAACATGCGTTGAAATGTCCATTTGTGGCCTCCTCTGCGAAGTGAAATGCGCCACAATGCATGCTAGTGCTTTAAGAGGTCCTAGATTGTGAGAAACAACACTCAACTAATTTTCCAGCGTTCTTCTAAAGACATGTTGTAAAACAGCTTCTGGACTTCTTTCACAGCTAGGCCCTACATGACGTTCTCTTTTGCATTTCTTAAGTCTGTTGAATTCCTGGACACTCTTCCACATCTTGCAGGTCTTCCCCTAGCTTGTCTAGTTACTCTTCACTCATTATATAAACGGAAAACAAAAAAATTAAACACAATTCATTTTGAAACATTATTTACCAACATTGACTTTGACTTTCGGATTAAACGTAAACATTGCAAATAAATAAGCAACAGCTGATAGAATGCAGACGTTTTTCAGTCCCCATGCATTTCTTATGGTGGATATTTTACGTTATACCTCGTTTTCTGGTAACTTTATGGGAATTCTGCTATTTTTCCCCGAGTCCCTGGGGTCAAGACCTTTAATTTAAGACCCCTCCCACCTTTCTGCGACTTACCAGACGTCCACAATTTTCTGGTAAAAATTTTGTCTTACAGAATTATATATAAGGATTGTGATGGGTATTCATGGTAGTTGTAAGGTACACTTGTTATTTTTTATTTGTTGATCAATAATATACTCTGTTAATAAAATTTTAAATATCATATGAAATTTCAAACATCAATCCACAGTCAAGCGTCGATTGGGCATCGTATTGTGTCCTCACATAAATCGTCGAGTCATCAGTCTATGTCTACACAGTGAAGTTATATCCGCCATTGCTACACGATTTGCAGACAAACTTATTGCGTTCAAGGTTAAGTTGTTACCTGCAATGGCGGCAATAGTTGCACGCACTGATGAATGAACTAGACCTACAACCGAAAGTAACTGAATGAGAGAATTGAGAGATGTTGGCCGCCATATGTACTAGGAGAATAGTACTTTGGAACAAGGGATTGTGGGATTGTGATAAAGCCAAGAGCCATTGAGCTGGCTAATTCTTCTAGTTGGTACCAACATCACAAAATTTTACATCTTCACGATTTTCTAGCAGAGTTGCCATGCCAGTGCTACCTCCAGTTGTATATTTCTAGCTTAGTGGATGCTCGCTATGACAACAGCCATGATGATTTCAGAACTGATGATTTCAGTATACAACTATTTCGTTTTGTAAAAAGCAAGAGCAGTTCCTTGATTCCGTTTACTTATCAGACTTGGATGCGATAAATAACTGAGAGGGCCTGATAATTTAGGGCCAATATGAACTACGCTGGTTGTCTGATTCAAAATTTAAACAGATTCGAACAACATAACATTGAACTTGGTAACTTCCAGCTTAAAAATATGAGTCAACTGCTCAGCCCATTGTCACTATTCACAGTTTGTTAACTAAACTAATTGGTATTCATAACTTTTTATCTGTAGATGTTGTCTATGTTTTTAATAGAGATGTTTTTATTAATTTTATTTTATAATTTTTATTGAGACGGACACAGCACACACTATTTTAGAGCCGGCGGGGAGTCGGCGCCATTAAGGCGTATTCCATTGGTGGACCCAAGATTGGATTCTCAAATCTCATTTATCGAATCTTAAATCCGAAACTTTTCTTAGGATTCGGTGGAATCAAGATTCGGATTTAACACATAGTTCTATTATAAATATAAATTTAAGATTATTTGACGGTTTACAACAGTGTACAAAACTGATTGGTTTGGTTGCAGGTGAGTCACACAGAAGTGGCTGAACAGCTGGTGTCAGAGCTCCAGTCTTGTGACCTCCAGGAGTGGGACCGTCATCAGCTGGAGCAGGAGACTAAGCGACTGTCTGCTAGGTTGGAACACTCCCGCTCCCAGGCCAACGTCTTACAGCTCACCTTGGACGAGGCCAAGAGCCATTGTGAGAGGTACGTAACCACTGTATCTAGTTTTTCTTCCCCTCTTGAATTGTAAGTTCATACTGTTCTGTAACAGTAAATGTTTAGAAATACTTAGAAATGTTTAGGGCTATCCAGAAAGTAGCAGGAGTTTTTAAAAAAACTTACCCTTACTCTTACTTACTCCTGTGGCCTTTGAAAACCTAGGGGGTCTTTGGCCTCGCCAACCATATGCCTCCAGAGTCCTCTGTCTTCTGCCAGCTCCAGGTTTACTCCCATACTCTTTAGGTCCTTTGTTACCTCATCAATCCATCGCATCCTTGGTCTTCCCAATGGTCTCTTGCCCTCCGGAGTACCTCATCACTTTCTTACCATCTCTCTCTCACCTCCGTTGAATGTGGCCCAGCCACCTCAACCTTCTACTGTTTTGTAAACAAAAAATGAAAAAGCCGATACCAATATATTTAAATATATATTCTACTTGCAAATATTCTCAAATGACTCAACTGATGGTTCTTTACAAATCTTGGTTGCCCCTGGGTTGGAAGAACAAAGTGAATAAAAATATTACAACAGAGCGTTGGCAGTGAAAGCTAGATGTTAAATAAAAATTGAGTGGGCCCTGTGGAACAAAATCATCCCCAGAAGTCCTTAGGGGACGTTCCTGATACTGTTTAGTTCTTCCAAAGCTGAAAACAATCTTAAAACTACACTGACTCTACCTTGCACACTACCACACTAAATTTAGTGTTGCACCCAAGGTGTATCTTTTGTAGTGGCTTCTTATTGAATGTAATTACTAAATACCCTTTTGAATGAATATATTCATGCCAAAATTGAAATACTAAAGGTTAATTAGAATCAGCAGATAAATAACCATTTGATATATTTAAAAATAATTTCTGTTGAGTATAACACAATCTGAATAGTACAAGGTGATGTAGTTACTTATTACCTCAGTATACTTGCCATTAAGTTTTCCTATATAAAATGTATACAACCCCTCGGTAGAAGAAGTGATTGGCGCGGTTACAATATAGCCGTGACAGTGACAGTAAGGTGTGAAATTTATTTAATGTTTGAGATGATCCAACACTCACAAATCCTTCTCGTTGGCCAACGACTATAAAATTGAAGTGTATGTCTCGTCGTCCAATTTGTTACACAGTATAACTGTACGTAACTCAATGGTATGGTATGAAAGATTATTTATTATTAATGGCTTAAGGGTTTTATGTAAAGGGGAGAGCATATTAAATGTGGAATTGACTCTAAAACTCATGAATATCAAATTAAATTTAGACAGAATAGAAAACTAGTGTTTTAATTGAATCAAGGAAAAACACAAAGGCAATAATCAAATATAAAAACATAAACATATATGACTTAAATAAAAATAATAGTCACATGCTAGCTTATATACAGATCATGAGTGAAAGTCCAACACTCCCCCTCACGAATGATCTTGGTGAAGTTATTTATGTCCATTTTGTGTCACATGTCTTTCAAAATTAGTTTTTCCAAGAGCTTTGGTAAGAACATCAGCCGTCATTGATTCTGTAGGAAGATACTTCAGTTCAATAGACCCTTCTTCAATTTTTTCTCGAATAAAGTGTAATCTAATGTCTCTATGTTTTGATTTAGCACTGACGACAGGATTTGAGGCTATGTGTTGCGCTGCTTGATTGTCATTGTAAATTGTTATCTTCTCATGAGAATCTGCCATATCATGAATTAATCTTCTTAAGTGAAGTGCTTCTTTAGTAGCTTCTGTGATAAAGTAAAATTCTGCTTCAGCAGTTGAAAGAGATGTACTATTCCGTTTTTGAGATGCCCAACTAACACTTTCATTTGCATACATGAAACAATATCCTGTGAATGATTTTCTGTTTGTTGACGAAGATCCCCAGTCAGCATCAGCAAGTCCTGCAAGTGGTTTGTTTGATTTTCCAAATACCAGTGACTTATCTTTTGTTCCTTTAAGGTATTTTAGAACACGCTTTGCATCTTTCCAGTGCTCTTCAGAATGGCTATTGTTAAATTGACTCAAATAACTGACGCTATATGCTATGTCGGGTCTCGTTGCAACTGCTAAAAACATCAGACTTTGATAAGGTTTGTTGACTATTTCATTTAGTGTCGGTTCATTTAATTTCACTTTAGGATCCATGGGAGTTCCAATTGGTTTACAATCAGTCATATAACACTTCTTTAAGACATCATCAATGTATTTTGATTGATTTGCTATCAGTTTTTGTTCTTTTTGTTCAAATTTTATTCCTAAGCAATGGTTCAACTTACCTAGATCTCGCATTTCAAATGACTTCATCAGTTTGTTTATTAATTTTTGAAATAATTCTTCATTCTTAGATGCAATGATCAGGTCATCAACGTATACTGCTATTATTTCATATTTTGATTCAGATACATAAATACATGGATCAGCAAGTGAAGCCTTGAAACCCAAGTCTTTTAATTTAGAATCCAGTTTGAAAAACCATTGTCTTCCAGCTTGTTTAAGACCATATAGTGCCTTGTTGAGATGACACATTTGTTGATCTTCTGAAATTTTGTTTAAATCAGTTAACATTTTCTTTGCTTGCAGTTTTACATCGTTGTTTTCTTTGTTATCATCTATTATTTCTTTAAGGTAGCTCTTCAAATTTGGTGCTACTTTCATGTAAATATTTTCTTTTATATCGCCATTTAGGAAAGCAGTAGGTACATCCAATTGATTCAATGTCATATCTCTCTCCACTGCAATACCAAGCAGTAAACATACTGAACTCAATTTTACTACAGGAGCAAATGTTTCTTCGTAATCAATATGAGGTCGTTGAGAAAATCCTCGTGCTAAGAGACGAGCCTTTTTTCTTTCTAATGAGCCATCTGCATTGAACTTTTCTTTCACGACTAGTTTGCAATCTACAACATTTATATCTTTCTTTTTGTTAGTTATGTCCTAAGTTTTATTTTTCAGGTGAGATATTATCTCTTCTTTAATAGCTTCATGCCAATATGAGGGATCATTTTTTGTTTCAGAGCTATCATCATCTGGATTTTCAAGATCAGAATAATATGATGCATAATCATCAAGCCATTTGGGAGGATTTGTGTCACGATGAGGACGGGAAGTCGCAGATGTAGATACATTAGTGCTCGGATCATCTTTGTGATTCTCATTGTAGCTCTCAATTGTATCTTCATTTGTCTCATTATGAATATCTTCGTTTGAATGATCATGTTGGTGTAGAGCTTCATTCTCAATTGTGTCTTCATCACTTTCAGGTATCTCATTTTGGACATCTCCGTTTGAAAGATCATCTTGGTGTAGAGCTTCTTGGTGCTTTTCATTTGTTTTCTTGAAACTCACTGTTTTGTATTCAAGTTTTTGTAGGGAAACTTTTGTGTTCTCTGCTGAGTCATCGTTTTCTTCTTGATTTATTAAATCATAATCAAAATGTACATTTGAATTAAGAAATTGCCGAAGAATTTTGACATCTCGACTTTCAATTACATTTCGGAAATCAGGAACCCATATTCTGTATGCTTTGGAGATCTCTGAATATCCAACGAAAATTCCCTGTATAGCTTGAGGAGCAAATTTACTTTTAGTTTGTTTCTTGTTCAGAACAAGGGCTATGCTTCCAAATACATGAAGATGATTTACAGATGGTATTCTTCCAACCCACATTTCAAAAGGTGTTTTGTGATCGATTGCTCTTGATGGACATCGATTCCACAAGTAGTTTGCTGTGTTCAATGCTTCAGCCCAGAACATTGGAGCAAGTTTCGACTCTGTCATGAGACATCTTGAAGTAGTGTCCTGTTAAGTCTTTCGGCAAGACCGTTTTGCTCTGGTGTATAAGGAGCTGAAAGTCGTCTTTGAATGCCATTGTCTTGTAGATATTTCTTAAATGCGTCGCTACAGTATTCACCACCATTGTCCGTTTGTAGAAACTTAATCTTCTTGTCTTTGAAGTTTTCCATTTCATTTTTGTATATTTTGAAATATTTTAGAGCTTCATTCTTGTGTTTGAGGAAATAAACTTTACTATAAAAGGATTTCTCGCCAGTAAAAGTTACAAAGTATTTAGAACCACCTGGCGATGTGACTTTCATTGGTCCACAAACATCAGAGTGTACTATTTCCAAATAATCTAATTCCTTTAAATCATTTCGTACTGGGAAAGGCAATTTTGTAATTTTCGACTGAATACATATACTACTTCACAATCACCGAGTTTTTAATTTGGATTGAAGTCAAGTCCCTTAATTGTTCCATTATTAAGAGCATGTTTTAAATCACTTTCATTTATGTGTCCAACTTTTAAATGCCATTCATTAATTTTACAGCTGTTTGTAACAAGATTGGCATTTTCAAAATCATCAAATTCAACATAGTAAAGACTACGGTATTCATTTTGGTTGCTTGCAAATACTCTTAATTTTTTGAGTTTCCAATTACAGCTTTATTTTCATCAAAGGTTACACTACATGCTTTTTCAGTGATTTTGTTTACAGATAGAAGGTTTGTTGTTAGATCTGGGACATGCAGTGTGTCTAGGATGTTAACAACTGAACCATCCTTAGTAAGTTTTACAAGTCCCTTACCTTCGATTGATGTAGTTTGATTTTTTGATGCAAGTTTGAGTGTGTGATTACGAGAAGTTTTTGAAAGTTCAACAAAGTCTTCCCTATTTTTACACATATGAGAAGTACTACCAGAGTCAAGACACCAAATGTTGTCTTTGGGTTTACATTCTCCGGATAAAAGACAAAGTTCTTCTGTTTTAAAAGATTTGTATTGTATTTAGTTTTTGCCCAACATTGTTCTGTTAAATGATTATTTCTCCCACATTTTTTACAGAAAACCTTTGAATTTTGATTAAAGTTTTTGTGCTTGCTGTTAAAACTTTTAGAGAAAAATGCACCGTCAGTGCTTTGTTTTTCAACTCTTTTAATTTTTAGGTGATCAGGTTTAGTAAGAGTATCTCGTGACTCTATTGCGACTCGAAAGTTCTCAAATG